AGTCGGGCGCGGACGGAAGTGCGGGCGCGGGGCGGAAGCAGCGACGTTGGCGGCGCGAGGCTCAGGTGGGTCCCGCGGGCCCTAGTCGGCGGCGGGCGCTCCGGGAAGGGACTCGGCGCTGGGCGGGGAGGGCACCCCGCGCCGCTGCCCATTTCGATCGGCCTTGGAGGGAATTTAATTAAAACAGGAGCTATAAATCTATTAACCACCGGGGGGAGATTCCAGATTCCAGCCGTGTGTGTGTGTGTGTGTGTGTGTGTGTGTGTGTGTGTGTGTGTGTGTGTGAGAGAGAGAGAGAGAGAGAAGGAGAGAGAGAAGGAGAGAGGGAGAGGGAGGACAGGCCTCTGAGAAGTGACTGATGGGCGGGAAATGGAAGCTTTTTAAGAGAAAGCAGGAAACGTCTCAACTTCATGCTTTCAGTGATGCACAATGTCCCCGTCTCGTTTTTTAATTAAATTCTATAAAGTGGCAATATAATCACACTTGACAGCCTGCTGAGAGGACTGCCTTTTTAAGTAAATATTTTCCAGCAGCCATGTTGACCTTTCATTGGGGTGAAGAGGTTGAAAGGTGCAGCGGGGAGCAGCGGGGAGCAGCGGGGAGCAGCGGGGAACGGGGAACGTTGTGAGTGCCTGGGCTCCCTGGGCTGGCTGCACCTTCTCTCTGCGTTCATGGGTAGATGCAGACCTCTGGGTACTGAGCAGTGAGAAAAAAAATCAGAGACTCAACAAATACTTAGCCTTGTCAGTCACCCCTGACACACAACAGTATGTAACAACTTTTTATTAAGTCCAAGGGTAGAAAAGTTCCCACTAAATTACTAACATGAATAGGCGTGTGCCTTAGAGTCTTTCCAAATAAATAGTGTTTACGTAGTTCTTTACATGTTAGTGCCCTTTAAAACAAACAAACAAACAAACAAAAAATCCACAGCATGGCCCAGCTTGACCCCAAGATTCTCAGTTCTTCAAGGACAGGGATAATGTCTAGGATCTGTTATGTCCCAACATGAACCCAGCTCCTGAGACCACATTGCCTTGGGTAAGCAGTCCCTAGAATCACGGGGTCTCAGTGTGGGAGACACCAAACAAGTTGAGGTGGCTGTCAGAGGCCACTGTCTTCTTATTTAGTAATAGCTTATAAAAGCGTGTATGTGGGTGCATGCCCAAAGTTCCAGAAAGAGAATGGAGAAGGGATTGCGTGTCACGGCCATCCCTTGGGGAGTTATTTCTCACTTTCCTTCTCTTTCTCTCTGGGCAGTGCACATGACCTATGGCAAAAATCTTTAAAAAAAATAAAATGTGTGTGAAGCTCTCCTCCAATATTTGGAGCTGTACACACTGAGGTGCATTACAAGTAAGTAAGATATTTTAAACACTTGGGGAAAGAGGTGTCTCCTGTAAATGCTGAGTGATTATGGTACCACGGGGCAAGGCAGACTAATCATGGTTCTGTGTGCAGCGTCATAGCCTAGTGACCTGGATCCTGCTCTGCCGAGAAATTGCCTGGAACCAAAAAGGACTTGTTGTGAAAATTAAATGGGTGGCCCCAACTGCTTTAGAAAGGCAAAATCCCTGTATTTTTTTTCTTCTGCCTCCTATGCTCAGTAATAGCCACCTGCCCAGGAAGGATTCTTTTTTTTTTTTTTTTGTCCCCTTCACCAGAAAAATATGTAGCTATGTGGTTTTATTTAAATAGACTGTGGTAACAGAAATGAGGGTTTCCTGACGGGAATGTATAGGACTGTGTTTCTGTTTTGCTCCAGATGCCTGGCTCTGTACTGCTCTTAAGCACCCAGAGGCACTATGGGAAGATGTCTTCAAATAAGTTATTTTGTTAATTATGAAAGTTTCTGTAGTCTATAACTTATATACTCTAGCTGGCTGATGCATTCAATTACTGTACTCTAGGGCTTGGGGTTTCAAGGTGACATGGTACAAGTAGTGAGGTGTCTTTAGGCTTCGTATGTGAAGTCTAATTTTTGCCATTGCTTTATTCAAGGTGTGTACATCAGAAGAAGCCAAAAGCCTGCTGGAAGTTCCTGAGTGCAGTTCTAATCTTGTTTGCAGTTATTTCAAAGGGGAGAAATCATCTGGATCAGGTATGTGTAGCTACACAGGTTGCAAAATGAAAAGTTTTGGATAAGTTTAGCATAGATAGGATTCCACATCTCTAAGTTCCTGTTCCAGTACAGCCACAGGGAATAGGAAGCATGAAAACATTATTATCTCTCTCTCTTTTTTTTTGGGGGGGGCGGGGGGCACAGGACATGTGCACTTGCTGGAGAGACACCAAGAGAAACAAGACAGAAAGAGAAAATGAGAAATCATCTCCCAGGGGGATGACCTGCTGCAATCCCTTCTTCATTCTCCTCCCAGGAGTTTGGGCATGCATGCACTTGCACCCAAGGTGATTTTTCCAGTCACCAGGTTTGGGACTCAAATGATGGTCAGCCATGTGGGAATCTAGCCACCTTAATCTCCACACCACCTGCTCACCCCCATCACTGTCTCTTTTCAAGTGTATTTATTTATTCATGCCATAAGAAAACAAGAGAGAGGGAGACAGCACTGCCAAAAGGGTTCTAACACTGCGATCCACCCCAGCCTCTAGCTAGCCATGCTGGCAAGCAAGTATGTGCCTAGTATCCTCAAGGAGGTCTCTGGACTTGAACTAAGAACCTCCTTATGTGGGATGACCTTGTAGAGTATCATGTTTTACTGCTCTGCCACCATCTGGCCTCAGAAAGCTTACTCTTGCCTTTTCCTGTGGGAGCCACCAGGTCAAGAGGAGCATGGTCTTCTCTCTCCACCATGGCATGTGATTGTCCACAGATATCAGTGTACTCTGAGAAGGCGGAGTCATCTAGCAGAAATGTCACTGTGCCTGCTGTGGTCAAGTCTCCCATCTGACCGGATAGTGTGAATTTCATTCACTTCAACTTGTGCAAAAATGACAGGCCGTATGCGGTCAGTTAATTAGCAGGCCATCAGACCAGGGCTGAGTCTTGGGTACTGGGAGAGCTATGGTTCAAATTCTCTGAGTTCAAGGTGGTAGGACTCACCATTCTAGCCAGGGGGCTTTTGGAAATATGTGTCAAGGAGGTCACGTGTTTGTGCCAACTAAGAGCTGGCACTGTTGGCACCGCAGAGTGAACACAGCCCAAAGAGGTATGCCATCTGCTCTACCCTGCTGCCTCGGCCTTCCAGCACTAGTTATGGCTAGAAGTGTCATACTGAGGAAGGTCCTGAACTTCCTTTGGTGGTTGAAGATAAAGTTGAAGGCTACAAGGAGACCAAGAAAGTTGTTTTGCTTCTGAAGAAACTTAAGGCCTGGAATGATATAAAAAAAGGTCTATGCCTCTCAGCGAACCAGAGCTGGCAAAGGCAAAATCCAGCACAGGGGACCCTGCATCATCTATAATGAGGACAGCAGTATCAGAAACATCCCTGGAATCACCCTGCTTAATGTAAGCAAATTGAACATTTTGAAACCTGCTGCTGGTGGGCATGTGGGACATTTCTGCATTTGGACTGAAAGTGCCTTCTAGAAGTTAGATAAATTATATGCACTTCGTGGAAATCTGCCTCCCTCAAGAGTAATTACAACCTTCACATGCACACGATGAACACAGAAAAGTCCAAAGATCTTGGGAAGTCTAGAGATCCAAATAGCCCTCCAAGCACCACACAAGAAGATTCATCACAGAGTCCTAAGAAGAATTCACTGAAAATCGTGTTGAAACTTAACCCATGTGCAAAGACCATGTGGCAGAACACTATTCTTTATCAGGCCAGGAATCAAAAAATGGCCAGATCAGGTGGCCGCAGCACTAGAGGCCAAATTTCATGAGAAGAGGGTTGCAGGCAAGAAGCTTGTAGTAGGGAAGAAGTGAAAGGGAGTTGGTGCTAAAAAGCAAAAGAAGGCCTTGGTGGGAAAAAAGGCTGCAACTATTCAGAAGTCAGCAGCTGATAAGAAACCAGCAGCTGGAAAGAAGCAGCCAGCAGAAAAGAAACCTACTACAGAAGAAAAGAATCCTGCTGCAGAAACCCTTGCATTTTTTATTCTGTGAAGTTTAGTCATTTTGGACAGCTTATTTTGAATAAATACCTTGTCTGAAGCAAAAAAATAAAAATAAAGAAGAAGAAGAAAACCTTACTTTCTTTTCTAATCCTTACCAAAGTTAAAGTTTCCAAACATGGAGGCAAGATGAAGAGTATCTACCATTTTTAGAAAAGTATCTATCTTTAAGGATTTTAGAGCATTTCTCTAGTAACAGCTATACTGCTGTTATATATGTTTGTCAGATTTTCTGTCCAAGGTGTGAGGTTTTTGAGGGCAAGGATTATACCTTAGTCACTTCCACATTTCTAGTACCTAGCACAGTGTCTGGCACTTTACTTATACTCAATATGTGCTGTAGAAGTGAGATGACAGTGTCCCTGAAGAGAGGCTGTTTCTATAAGGAGCATGAAAACAACATCGGGAATATAGCAGGATAGAAAAAAGGATATATAGCAGTAACCTCTCTTCAGGGGGTTACTAGATGCAATTAGGACCTACTGCTTTGAGGGCTGGCTTTGTAGCCTAATGGTCAAGGGAGCTAGATCCCACATGGCTGACCACAGTTTGAATTCTGGCCCTAGCTGCTTGAAAACTGCTCTGATCACACGTGTGTGTGAACTCAAAATCCCAACAGGATGGAAAATAGAGAAGGGATTGCAGCATGCTCACACCCCATTAAGGGGTGCTTTCTTCCTCTAGATGCATGCACCTTTGACAATTAAAAAAAAGAAGTACTGCTTTGATAAACAGCTTTGAACAAGGAAGGGCATATTTGAGACTGGATGGTCACCAAAGTGTTTTCTCAGGAGATCTGGGCTGGTCAGTTGCAGGGCCTTTGTTTTGTTACATGGGATATACAATCCAGGCCTGCCCTGCTCAAATCCTCACCCAAACATTTGTTTAGCAAATATCTGGAAAAAAAAAATCCATTTGAAGTTGAACCAAATCACTAGCTTACCTAGGGCACCAATATCTTGGTTTGGTATTGCCTGAAGGATAGTCTGGTCACTGTTTTAAGTCCAGGATGCACAAATCATATTGAAGGAAATCCATGCTTTTCTCCATTGCTAAATACATCCCAAAGAGTTCATAGTTGACAGATTTTTGTGTTTTAAAAAGCTGGCATGTGATAGATGCTGCTTGCTTCTGTTGCCAATGGGATTGTCACAGAAATCAGAATGTTATAACTGGAAACAAATGAACTTCCTTTCATTGTTCCAGTACTTTTTTATATTAATCATGAAATAAAGGGGAAATGGTTTCTAATGTAGTTAGGAGGGATGGACATGACATTGAATTATTTGATTTTTTAAAACTATATAACATGTAGCCCTTCCAGTCAGCCAAGATAAGGAATAATATTATTTAATAGAAACTCAGTCAGCTGAAGCAACTTAGGAAATAAGTGGGGTGGGAGGGGGATCTAAATTCAACAGTTTCTCCAGGTACAATAATGAAATTAATGTGAATCTTCTTAGATTTAAAGATCAGAGCTTCATTGTTAATAGTAAAAGAATTCTGCCATCAGAAGCTGAGACCTTTCTTATTCTATCTTTAAATTAGGCTTAAACAAAATGTGATATTCATGATTTGGTATACCTGAAGATTAATTTGTAATGCTTTTGAAAATTTTTTTAAAGGGGGTTGAACTTGAAGATCTCTTCTGGTTCTGAAATTCTGTGTTGATTTCATTATATATATATATATAAAAGAAATGCCACTCTTCAAAGAGAAAATATAGAGAAATAAACAAAAATATCAAGTATGAAAGACTTGAGTTAGTTATTAGTTTCCTTATTCATATAGCAAGTAGAACCTTCAAAGTCACTTCCTTCTTCCAAAATGTTAAAATATTCTATCAGTAATAGCTACTAACAAACAGAATAGGGGTCCAGTAGATGGCGTAATGGTTATGTTACTGGACTCCCTCATAGTGAACTGCAGTTCAAGTCCTGGACCTGATGACTTAAAACTCATGCCAGGTACATGTGCATCCATGTCCAAAATCCCAAGAAGAGAATGGAGGAGAAGGGATTGCCATGTGGCCATCCCCTGGAGGAGTGCATGTGCATGTGCCCTATAGCAAAAATCTCTCTTAAAAAAAAAACAAAAACAGAATAGGACTCATAAGTTGGTAGTATTTCACATAACTGAGGGCTGACAGGATCTGATTTCAAGAATGATGCTTCTCAATGTTCATACTAGCACTGTACTTCTACAGGTTTAGATCTTACTGGTATTATAAATCCGGGAAAATGCTAGGTTTACCAACTCTAAAGTCCAAAGCCATTCACTACAAAATGGCTAGAAACAAATGAAACATCTTTCAGGCCTATGTGGTCATGAGAGAACTTCACCTCTTCAATAAAATGCATTGTAAGTAGGTGAAATATTAGTGGTACATGGAAGACATTGCCTGGTTGAATGGATTTTGAATTGCAAACAGTTGTTTTTGGAAACGGTATTGTGTGCTTTTCAAATAGCAAGAAAGTTGGCATTATTAGCTGGGTATAATAAGACTAAGATGTTTTAATGAAATTGCCTTCTTTCTGGGTCAATATTAAGTATCAGAAATATCTTCAAAGGGAATGGATCATGTTGGTTAAGAAAGATAATGTGGAAAGGAGTCTGCATAATTCCCTGTGCACTTTGTTACCATCCCTTGAACTTGAATGATTTTGCCCTCTTCTTAATGCTATCTTTATGGAATGAAGGAATTTTCAAATTGGTTTTTAAACTCTATTAAGCCCTCATGTATGATATAACCCAACCACATTATTCAGGTTTTCTTGGCTTTCAGGACTAGCTTTGCAGCCATTATGTCATAATTGAACTGAACATTGTTGCACACTCTGAATTTGGAATATGCTGCTCTGGCTATGGGCCAGTTGCCGAGTCAGTATCTTTGGGGTTGAGGATGGAGGGAGAGGTATAGTGCGTGCAAACCCCATTGCATTAACAGGGATTAGTCCAGAATCCCCTTTAGACTCCTGAGTACCAGAGCAAGTGTATCATGAGAGTACATTATTGTTCATG